TAGGCAGGATGGACATTCTGACAATTTTAATTCTTTCTATCCATGAGCATGGGATGTATTTACATTTATCAGTGTCTTCTTTAATTTCTCTCAAGAGCGTCTTGCAGTTTTCAGGGTATAGGTCTTTCACCTCCTTGGTTAGGTTTATTCCTAGGTATTTGTTTCTTTTTGTTGCAGTTTTAAATGGAATTGTTTTTCTGATTTCTCTTTCTGCCAGTTCATTGTTAGTATACAGGAATATAACAGATTTGTGTGTATTAATTTTGTATCCTACAACTTTGCTGAATTCAGTTATTAATTCTAATAGTTGTTTTGGTGGAGTCTTTTGGGTTTTCCATGTATAATATCATGCCAACTGCAAATAGTGACAGTTTAATTTCTTTCTTACCAGTTTTGATGCCATTTCTCTCTTTGTCTGATTGCCGTGCTAGGACCTCCAGTACTATGTTGAAAAGAAGTGGTGAGTGGGCATCCTTGTCTTGTTCCTGATCTTAGAGGAAAAGCTTTCAGCTTTTCACTATTTAGTATGAAGCTGAATGTGGTTTTGTCATATATGGCCTTTCTGTTTCATTTAGTCCTCTTTCTGGTATCTTGTCGTACAGTTTTGTTTGGAACATATTCCTCTGCCTCCTCATTTTGTCAGGGTTTCTGTGTTTCTTCCTTTGTGGCTCTGCTACTTCCTAACCTCTGGGGTAGTAGCTTTATGAGGGAGGCTCCCTCTAGTGTCCAGAAGCTCAAGACTCTTCACTTTCCAGTGAGGGATCCCCAGCTGTTGACATGCAGTGGGTGGGGCTGCCTTTCTGTCTTCCTTGCAGTGATCTGATTCTAGGTGGGCAGACTGCTTTGACCACACCTTTGTGATCAGTGCAGAAGGCTCTGCTGCAGTTGCTGTGGGTGGGGCTGCCCTCTGCCTGGCCTGCAGCAATGGCAAAGCTGCAGGGTTAATGGGGTGGGCAGGCTGATGTGCAGCTCTTGCCAGGCCTGACACACAGCACCTAGCTTAGACATGTGCAGGGAGGAAGGAGCTCTTGGGGGTGGCTCCTGCATGTACCTCCTGGTTGGGCTGAAATGGAGCTGATAAAGCTGGGAGGGTCTCTCTCTGCCTAGCAGGCAGCAAAGTCTGACATTATTGCCAGGCCAAGTGGGTTGGCTACTGGCTGCGTGTGCAAGGAGGAGCCTTGGGGCTCTGTTGCCAGTGAGGGGGAAGGAGTGTTTGGATCCCCCAAAAGTTCCTGACAAGTTGAGCTGAGGGTGGGCTGGAGAGGTAATGTCCACCTGCCCTTTGTCCTGAAGAGATCACTCAGTCCAACACCAGCCCTCTGGCACTGTTCCCGCTGCTGGGAAGTCTTTCAAACTTTCTGCTTTGCTTTTTTCTCGGGGGGACTGGTGGCATGTGCCTGTTTTTCAGATGTGGCTGGGATCTCAGCCTCCCTGAGTATATCACCTGTCTTGTTGTCCAGCCCTGCAAATCACCAGAGCACCATGCAATGTGGGCTCATGTTCCTGGAGCAGGTCTCCAGGGCCAGATGTTCAGTGACCCTGGGCTCCTAACCCCTCCCCACTCCATTCCTCTTTCTTCTGCCTGTGGGCTGGGAATGGGGAAGGACTTGGGTCCTACTCGACAGGGCTTTGCCTCTGTACCCTTTTCTGTGAGGTCTTCTCTTCTTCCCCAGATATAGGTGGTCTGTTCTGCAGTCTTCAGGTTATTTTCAGGTTTAGTTGAATTTGCTGTATTTTCATGTTTTCTGTGTTTTTTGGAGGAGGTTTCCATGTTGCCTTCCTACTCTGCCATCTTTATCTTCACAAGCCCCTTAGTTGGATATTCATACCTTTTCTGTAAACCTTGAAAGTCCTTTCTCCAGGGATCATTCTTTGATTTATGGTTGCATGTTTTCAACGGTTAGGAATTAGTAACTCATTGCATTTCTATGAATTCAAATTGTTAGAATATTTTTCCTTATATCAATAGAGGGTATATTCTGAGTTCTTTCATACATAGAACATGAAATGTTTTTCTCTCTTTTAGACTCCCTTCAGATCTATGATGATACCTGCTAGTAATTATCCTATTACCTTGAAATATCTTCCAAGCGCCTCACAGTTTTTATTTGCCTTCCCTCTTGTCAATGTTTCTCCTTAAAAAGAATATCCATAAATAAACACAAAACTACAGATGGGTTTTAAGTAGCACAGTGCTTCCGAACCAGATGGCACCCACAGAAAACGATAATGTTTGTGTGATGTAGAGGTTAATGGATCAGACTGCTTGTGGTCATGGTGACCAGCTAGGAGTCTGTGGCTGCCACAGGCTGAGCCCCACTACCTCAAGGACTAAGAAGACCAAGACCTCAGCACTGTTATGAGCCATTCGTGGCACTCTGGTCCAGGGAACTCGAGATGGGAAGCTATGTTCTGAAGCTGATGGGGATTATCACTGATTCATACTTCAGGTGCTCTATTTCTGTAAATGTGATCTGAAATGAATCGCTTTATCAACCAGTCACTTACACTACGGATTTTTTGAGTTAATAAAGAATTGAGCACTTAGATTTTTTCTCATGAATTGCACTCAAATGATATATCCAGTATGCAAAGAGTTGATTTTTTTAAAGTTTTACCCATTTCACTGTTTAGTTTGTTGTTTGCAATACATGCTTTTTAAAACAGATTTAACTACTTACAATCTATTCTGGTTTTCTAAGAGGTTATTATTGGATGTTGTTTCTTTTCTTTGTTAGTAACAAAGCTTCCATGCACACTTTCATAAAAGTCATTGAATAGTTATATGTTTACATTTCTCTTGGGTAAATACTGTGGAGCATAAAATTAGTTTGCATTCTAAGTGCATTTTTGATTTTCTAAGAAATTCTGAAACAGTTTTTCAAAGTGGTCGGACAACTTGACCCCTTTCCTCACCGGGTAAGCATGAGACATCTAGTTGTTCTATATCCTCTCAAAGCTTTGGTATGGCAGTTTTTTGTTTCTTTATGAATACTGAACTCTGGTGAATCTACAAACATCTATTAATTATTCCTTTGCCATCTTCTGTGATATATTTATTCAAATAGTTTTGTAATTTTTTAATTTGCTGGATTGTCTTCATATTATGTCTTGTCAATGTTATTTACATATTTTTAATACAAATTTATAGTCCATGGCTTGCTTAAATTTTCTACCGGTGTCTTTTGAAGAACAGTTTTGATTTGGAGTAAATACAGTTAATCATTTTGGTGTGGTTAGTTTTTATCTATGTCCTACGAAATCTTAGATTATGCAATGTGCTGAAGATTTTCTTGAGGGTTTTTCCAGAAGTTTAAAGGTTTAGACTTTACATTTGGATTGAAGTTTTATTTAAAGTTAATTTTCATTTGCTGTGATGCGCAACATTTTAGATATTCTGTTTCTTCTCTTTTATTTTTATTCAGGTGGATTTCATTTGGAATTTTACTTTGTGGCTTGTAATGATAAAATAATCTGTGTACTGCGTAGGAAAAGAGGGAACTACATTTATGATTCTATATCCTATAATTTATGACTGTTTTCCATACTCTCACACTTAAAGACAAAAGAGATGAAAGAAAAGGGTTAAACATTATAACTGCTGTTTCTGTATTTTGAAGTGTATACGTTTCCCTTATTTTCCAAGTGATAGCATGTTGTAAAAAAACAAAGACAGCAGTGGTCATTTTCAGAGTGCTAACCCTCTGCTGATTAGTTAATAAGGTATTCTTTACTTGTCCAAGTTTGTCAACTAGTAAATGACGGGTCAGCATGTGAACACAGGCACATGGACTTCAAGACCAACTGACATAACCAGAAATCACTGTCCTTCCCTAAAATGAAGGCAGGAGAATTTTGTCCAGAGGCCACAAACCTACTGACAGTGGGCCAATTTCCCGAACATCTGTCTAGTGAATGCTGTTTTCATGATTTCGTTTCCACAATAATACTAAAAATATGAACATTTTACCTAGAAACGCAAGTATTCTGATCTTCATTTTAAAAAGTTCCTGTGACCTAGAAATCATGTGACTCTTCTCACTCTTGGCAGAAATTTGCTCCGGGCTGACAAGGAACACAGTGCTCCGCAGGAGCGCTCCCTCCAGGCTGCCTCTCAACCAGCTTCTTACATTTTAAATGGCGCCTCTGAATTGTAAGCCTGGAAACCTCACTTAAGGAACAATTGGCATAAAGATCATTGAAATGTGGAAAAAAGCCATGATCACCATTATGTCTGAAACATTTTTCAGTGAAATAATTTTGTGCATTTGATATTAAGCTATACAATTGTTTTTTTGAGAGGGCATCTCTCATATTTATTCATCAAATGGTTGTTAACAACAATAAAATTCTGTATAGGGGACTCAATGCACAATCATTAATCAACCCCAAGCCTAATTCTCAACAGTC